AGCCAGCCATGCTGGCTGGGGGATTCTGGGAGTTGAAGGCCACACGTCTTCAAGCTGCCAAGGTTGAGAAACACTGATCTGGAGAACGCTCTTGCTGAGGCTGGCTCATTGCTCATCTCCTGGGTCCTTTGCCTCTAGGATCCCTCAAGTAAAGCTCGTCAGAAGCTGGACTTCACCTTGAAGGAGACAACGTGTCCAACTTCTCAGAACCTGAACCTGGAGGTCTGTGACTTCAAGGAACAAGGGGTGAGTTCTCCCCTCTTTCTCTCCTCTCTCCAACGGAAGAACGAACAAGGGCAGAATGGGGTGGGGATCAATCCACCACCCAGTTCTCTTGCACAATCCTCCCCTGAAATTAAGGTTCTTCTTCCATTGTTGCCGTTGATGTCTTGTGCAGGAGAAGCACATGAAGATCATGCTGGTGGTCTAAAACCTGTTTCTACTTCTTTCCACTTGAAATATTATATTTTGAGCCAGGAATGGACATTCAATTAACTCCTTAAGACTGGAGCAGATCATGCTGATCCAAAGGGGGGGAGGTTTGTCAACTGACCTCCAAATAAGCTAGTTCTTGTGTGTTGTGTTGTGATGTGTTGTGGTAAAGGAGCTGGACTAAGAGCGGTTGGACTCAAGAGTTGAATGCAAAAAGTCACTGGATGACTTTGAGCCAGTCACCGTCTCTTAGCCCAGCCTACCTCACGGGGTTCTTGTGACAAAAACAAGACCAACCTTGTCCTCTACTTCTTTGATGCAGGTGGTGGTAGAATGTTCTGGAAGTTCCTTAGCCCAGCCTGGAGCGCCCATCATCCAATTCAGCTGTGAGACTGCCACTCAGGGGGTGAGTTCCCTGGAAAAAGCCGCATTCTTTGGGCACTGAGGCGCATGACCCGGGATCCCTCTCAAGCACGAGGAGGAACTGGAACATAGAAGGGGGATGGACGAGGATGACAACTGAATCTGAATTTCATTCAAACGTCAATGAAATTTGAACTAATAGAGTTCACATGGACCTGTCCTGATCCATTGCATTATGCTGGGTGTTGGGTAACTTTTGGAGAATGAGGGCACGTGGGCTTGGAAGGACACCCCAGGGCCACCCTACAAAAAGTGGGTGGAGTTAAGGAGAGAAGTGAGTGGGGCCAGATGCAAACCGTGTTTCTTAGCCAGCAGCTTTGCTCCGTGGAAAAAGTAGTCAAGAAAAATACTCTACTGAAGAGCCTGACCTTTGCAAGAGGCTATTTATTTATTTATTAAACTAATATTACTTCCTGGAAGTAAAGTATTTATTTAGGAAAGGGAATGAGGATAGGAAAGGCTGAGTTACGTCAATCTGTCTACTGCTAAGAGCCTGTAGGGCAGTGTTTCTCAACCGTGACCACTTGAAGAAGTGTGGACTTCAACTCCCAGCATTCTCCAGCCAGCATGCTGGGAATTCTGGGAGTTGAAGCCCACACATGCTGGCTGGGGAATCCTGGGAGGTTGAGAAATGCCGTTCTAGAGGTTTATAGGGGCCGAAATGGGGTACCTGGAAAATGCAAAAGGCCAAAATAATTAACACCCCAACAGGAAGGGGAAGTAGGCTGATCTACAAGAACAAAGCGGTTATCAGCAGAACATGAATACTATTGGTAGTAAAATAATCATAATAAAATAGATAACCACAGCCCTGGATTACCCATTAAGCAAAAGAAGCCGTGTTTAGGGCCCCAAAGGAAGGGGGGGCCCCAGAATCCCCCCCCCCCCGGGATCTGGTCTTTCACTGTGTGAGGAGTCTTTGTCTGGCAAGAACTGGACCACTGTTTCTCAACCTTGGCCACTTGAAGACATGCGGACTTCAACTCCCAGAGTTCTCCAGCCAGCCATGCTGGCTGGGGAACTCTGGGAGTTGAAGTCCCCACACCTTCAAGTGCCCAAGGTTGAGAAACACTTGACTGGACACACCACAGCGTAGAAGAGAACAACAATGCTTTACTGCAGCACACCCCCTCCCCAACAGCAGGCTGTTGTCCAGGGTGAACTCCAGCCTCCTTGGCTTTGCAAGGTGACGTCGCCCCATCAATAAGCCTTTGATGCTCAGTCCTTACCACGAGTCTCAAAGTCTGCAAAGCGGCAAACAGGCTTTGTCTCCCTCCAAAAGTTCTGGCATCTGTGGAGATTCAATGCTGCCTTGGCGGGGTCCCTCCCTTTCTGGTCTCCGCCAAGCTCCAGACTAAGCTCCAAGCTCTGCTCTTGAGTGTGTGGCTCCTGAGCCCTCCCACTGAGCCCCCCAGCCACGTCCCAGGCAGGAATCCCACCCATGGGGGCTGCTTACCTAGCCGGTGGTCCGGATGGCTGGCTGACAGCCCCCCGGCTTGCCTGTGATGGTTGCCCCTGACCAGCCTCTCACTCCCTCCTCCGCTTGCCACCTTCTCCGCATCTGCTCTTCTCCGACACACCCACCCACACGCTGTGTGTCACCTTCCCTTTTGTAGACTGGGTGGGGTGAGGCTGCCGAAGGAGCTTGGCACGTTCCTGAAAACACCAGGGGGTGCCAACACTACAAGCGTTGGCACAGCCAACACCGTGTATAGTTGGCACATCCCTAAAAATGCCAAGGTGTGCCAGGCAGATGGATGCTGGGGAGTGAGTCTGTGCAAATGGTGTGGCCAGGGGGAATGAAGGAATGAACCTATCTCCCCTCAGGTTTCTGAGACAATAAGAAATTTGGGGCGGGGGGAGATGAACTGAGCCTAGCCTTGGGGAAATGAGGGTGGGATGCGTTTCTGCCCCAAGCTGCTTTCCCAAGCACAGATCACACCCTGCCCTGCTCCCCCTTAGTTTTCAGCAAAAGTTTGCATTTGGCTTTTTTCCTTTTAACAGCGCGATGAGAAAATGCATTGAAAAGCATTGCCAATTTGCATTTTTTTTTCTATTGCCCCGGTTATAAGTCAACAATTTGCTTGTATTGCTTCCTGCTGTTTAGTGTTAAATAAATAGATTTTTTAGAAAGTTTATATTTAATCTAGTTGTGAGGTCCGGCCTGGGGATTGGCCTGGAAGAAAGCTGAGTTTTAAATCTCTTCCTTTCCCTTCAGCATTTATTAACTGTCTTGTCAGCTAAGAACAGAAGGGCCAAGGGGCACCCTGGCTGGGCTGGGCTGGGCTTAGGGCATCAGTTGGTCCCCTGAAGAAAGGTCTGGACCTCTGAACAAACTCGGAGAACATTTGCTTGCAAGTCTCAGTTGCGGAGCTCTGCTGGACCTTCTTCCCAGATGACCCTTCCCACGTTCCTGCACCAATCCCACGCGTATCCTGTCCGTGCATCTCTTTCTTGTGTTCTGCCTTACTTCTTCCCTTGGCAAAAACGGTTCAAGGACGCTTGATGAAATTCGGATCCCTCAGGGCTTTTCCCACGAAAGACTCACCCTCTTCCTCTCTTCTTCCCCCCAGAACCACCGTGTCAAGCGGAATGGTTTTCGCAAGTTCATGAGAAGACTGAAGAAATTTTTTGCCGGAGGGGGATCATCCATTGCACATATAAAACTTCATTGATGGGTGCGGAGTGCATGAGAAGGTGAAGACATGCTGCCCACGTGGGCTGACCCGGGCCAGTGGACAGCTCCTTTCTTACGCACCGGGATGGAAGAATCAACCCTGTGAAGATGGTTAGCTGGTCTTCAAAGCGGTGCTTTCTCCGGGGGCCGAAAGAGCTTCAGAGCCCCCTTCATTCTCTGCAACTCTTTACTGCCTTCATAATAAACTCCTATCTGGTCTGCATTCCTGGTCATCTTTATTACATGTTTGGGCAGTGGGGAGGAGTGGTGGTGTCTGATGTAAAGAAACCCGTACGCTCTTGACGCATCTGCAGTCCACGCAGCTTTAGGGTTATCACCAGGCAATTTAATTACGATCGTGTGAAAAAGGAAGTCCACCCTCTTTGAGCTCTATGGTTTTACGTATCAGGACATAATAAAAATCATCTGGCCCTTAGCAGTTCTCAAAGGTAGGTAAGTACAACCTCAGATGAACAAGACAGGACCTATTACACCATGTCGTCATTTATTTGACAAAAAGAAAGCCAAAATGGAGAAGCCGTGTGTGAAAAACTAGGTACACCCTTACTGCTTCCATAGGTATGAAGAGGCTAAGTAGCAGCCGGGGGAAATCGACCATACTCTGTTGGGCGTCTGCCCCAGCAGTTAACAGATAGAGGGTTTTTAAACTGACATCAAGGTGACTATCCAATAAGCCAAGATTGGGGCAGTTTCAGTAAGGAAATGGAGAGGCCAATTCCTTCAATGAATTTACAGCCTTCAGTGGGAGGAAAGTTGCCAATGCTGAATAAACTCAGTGGGCAGCTTCCTTCATTGAACCCTTTTCTCTTCAAATGCAACAAGAGAAAGTCCCAGAAATACCAAGGTAGCTTATTTTGGGACAAGGCTTAACTTCCTGGAAATAACACCATCCCTTTTTGAGGCTAGAATCCCCTGATCCGGGGTCTCCAGGCCATAAAGAGGAAGCAAAACATCCGACCTCTAGTGACTACCCCACTTCGGACAGCCTTAGCTAAGCAGCCCGATTGCTGTGTTCATAGTTCAAACAAGAGTTCAAGTGTTCCACACTAAATTTCGGATCTGGAAGCGGTTGATGAGCACTCCCGGTTGAATGCGCAGACCCGGGGCTGCAGGGAAGAAATGTCTCTTGCGAGATTTTGCCGTTCGGGTGGGACTTAGGGTCGCAATCCAGTTTGGGGGAAGCCCCCGTCCCCTCCCCCTTAATGGATCACTGCCTTGTCGTGGCGAAGGGGCTTGCGTAACTCAGTGAAGCCATGAGCTAT